CCTGGAGGAGAAAAGGGAGAGTCAAAAAGGGAGAGAGCAATTAAACCAGTAATTGCACCCACAAGTGGAAATGGATACTGAAGACTAGATTCTTAAAGGTACAAAATTGATAACAAATACCAAAAAGCAAAGATTAAGAATCTAGAGTATAGGTTAAACTCTCAAAAATACAATATTAAAAAAAGAGAAAATCAGTCACAAAAATTATAAAAAATATATATATGAAATTTGCTTTAAAAATATGGTCTTTTTTTTTTTGCAAAGTAATAGCAGGTTATAAAAATGAAAATTAAAGGAATAATAATTTAAAAATAAAAAAATTTTTAAATGATAATAATAAAAATACTCCTAGGAATTTCTCTGGAGCTGTTGTGGGCAGTGTGGAGTCAGTTCCGTTTCAGATAGTTCCTTGTTCCACCTTGTACTTCTCCTCGTCTATAGGCCCCTTCCAGTGCTTTGTCAGTGTTAACTACAGGGTTTTAATCTGTTGCACCTGTCACTTCCAGAGCAGTTCCCTCTTCTCTGTTTGTTTTGGCTTCCTGTATGTAAGTCTCTTCAGTGTCTAATTTCCGCCCTGACACAACGGGGCGAAGGTGTTCACTTATTTAGGCTCACTTGTTCAGTTGTAGAGAGGGAGGAACACTGCAAAAAAGTATCACTGGCGTGTGTGGGGAGAGTTCACGGTATATGGACCACACTGGGTTTGCCCCAGCTCACTGTGGCCTGTGCTCTCTGGGTCTACACTGCTCAGGCTCCAGGTTGCTCTGCAAGAATACTCTCCAGAGCTGGCCCTGCGTTTTATACACTTCCCAGGTCTCAGCTGCTCAGGTTCAGGTTCTCGGATACACCACAAGGGCATAGACTCACTTGGGCAAGCGTTTTGTGCCCTTCCCTGGTCCCAGCAGCTCAGGCGACCAGGTGCTTAGTGAGCACACAGTCCCAGGTGGACTGTGCAACTTAATCACCTCCCTGGTCCCCACCACTCAGTTTCCTGGGTGTGCTGTGAGAACACTGTCTCAGGTGTGCCATGTGTCTCCTCTGGGGAGCTGATCTCAGGCTGTGACCCTCCTGGCAGATGTCAGCCCTCCAGAATCCTAGGAAGACATGGTTAGCAACTGCGATCCTCCTCACAGTTTGGTGGAGGATGCTGGTCCCTGGGGCAGAGATTGCCCCTTGCCTTCCGGCTCTGGCTGTCATGCACCTGCCTCTCTGCCTCTGGCGGGGGGTTGGAAGGAGCCTGTATGCAGCCATCTAGCTCTCATTTGGTATTCGCCCAATCCTTTGTTCTGTGAGAGGGCCAGGTTAGAGACTTTCGTGGGAAAGTTCTCTTTTTTTTCCCTCTCTCTCTCTGGCTATCCCACAGTTTGGGTTGCTGTCTCACATTAGCTCCTTCAAATTGTCCTCAGGGCATTCAGGCCGGGTCCTTACCCTAAGCATGCGCTGGTGGCAGACATGAGCGTCTGGGCTACTTCTCCACTGGAAGTTGCAGTTTAGGCACGTATTCTGTGGGTTTTTTTATTTTTCCTCCCAGTTATGTTGCCCTCTGAGATTCCAAAACTTCCCACAGACCCTCCAGTGAGAGGGTTTCCTGCTGTTTGGAAACTTCTCCTTCACAACTCCCCGCTCCCCAGGACGGGTCTCCATCCCTAACTCTTTTGACTCTCTTTTTGTCTTTTATATTTTGTCCTACCTCCTTTCGAAGAGAATGGGCTGCCTTTCTAGGTGCCTGGTGTCCTCCACCATCTTTCAGAAGTTGTTTTGTGGAAGTGGCTCAGCATTCAAATGATCTTTTGATGATTTTGTTGTGGTGAAAGTGGTCTTCCCATCCTATTCCTCTGCCATCTTGCCTGTCTTTCCTGAGACATTATCCTTGCTTTGCTTTATACCAGCACCTGCCTGCTGTCTCCAGTGTGGAGTCTTCAGTAAGTTCTGTTGACTGTCTCTAAGACATCTCCCTAGTCTATCTACATTCTTCTTCCTCACTGTACCAGACTTTTTTTACCTAAATGTTTTAATAGCTTTTATAGTAAAATTAGTTCTTAGAGTAGCCAGGGCAATTTTTCAAAAACAAATACCAGACAATGTTACACCCTTTTGTAAAACTTTCTGACAGCTCCCTTCTGCCTTAGAATAAATCTAGTTTCTTGATTTGGGCCATAAAGTGCTACATAATGTGGCTTTGTTCTCACCTTGTACTACTCCCCACCTCATACACCGTGCTTGAATGTGCCAAACTGGCACCAACTGTTGTACTAACTGCTGCCTCTTCATAGAATGCCCCCCCGCCCCATCTTTGCATGGTTGGCTTCTTCTTGATATGTAGGTCTTAGCTTAAATATTAATCTCAGAGCTGTCTTTCCTTACCACCTTATTCATCTTTTTTTTCAATTGAATTATAATTGCCATTATTTGTACATACTGCATAATGATCAAGATAAGTTTAGTAAACATCAATCACCATACATAGTTACAGTTTTTTACTGTGATGAGAAATTTTAAGATTTTCTCTCAGTAATTTTCAAATATGCAATAGAGTATTAATAAATATAGTCTGCATGCTGTGCATTACATTTCCATGACTTATTGAACCTATTGATCACCTTACTACTTTAAGTGACACTAATTTATTCTCTTTTATTACCAACCTCTTAATTTTATTACATAGATATTATTTTCTGATGTTTTTATTGTTGACTAAAAAATAATTTTACTAAAAATTTTTTTCTTTCCCAACTAAACTCCATGAGATTAGAGATATTGAATATAACCACTCTCTTTTAGCACCTAGGAACAGTAACACATTGTAGTAGGCTCTAAATAAATATTCAGTGAATGAATGCAATTAAAGAAGTTTAAAATAACTTTGGGGTATTTATAGTATTCCCACAGGTTATTGTGGCAACCTGAAAAGCAATTGCTGAACAGCTTTGAAAATCTTACTACATAGATATAAGAATGTAGTTCTGTCCTAGTGGTTTCTTCTGCCTATAAGAGGCAGTTTTAAGCTTTTCACAGTCTGGGACCCAGGCTACCTTTTTAACCTCCTTTCCTCCTTCATGTTCTTACCGCAACTCAAACTCTTGTTTTTTTTTATCACTGACCTACTTACTCTTCTGGAAAATGTTATGTGCTTCCTGGTATATATGAAATACCACTCCATCTCAGTGAAACCTTCACTGTTCAACAGGAGACTTAACAACTGCTTTTTTGTCCCTGTTCCCTTTACTTGGACTGTTCTAGCACTTAATGAGTATGTGCTGTGCTGTGCTTAGTCGCTCTGTTGTGTCCAACTCTTTGCAACTCCATGGACTGCAACCCACCAGCCTCCTCAGTCCATGGGATTCTCCAGGCAAGAATACTGGAGTAGGTTGCCATGCCTTGACCTTATTTTACATATCTTGACATTTCTGCTAGAAAGTGTGCGTTCTCTGAGAGCAGGGACTAAATTTTCCACCTATTCATCGTCTGTGTTTTGTTGCAGGCTTTGGAAATGGACCTTATTTCAAATCCCCTTAAATTGCTAACCCTTCTAAGCCTCAGTTTCCTCAAATGCAAAAATGAGACTAGTTATAATACCCTCATAAGATTGCTATAAGAAATAACTAACGTATATGAGGGCATTTAACACAGAGCCAGACATAGTATATGTACACATTAATTACTAGCTGCTATTCATAATCACTCTTGATGATTGAATAAAAGAAGCAAATTGATTGATGTTTATCATGTATTATTTCTTGACAAGGTCAGTCCTTTTTTTTGGCCCTAAATGAAATGTAGATATTGAGGGCTAGAGTTGGTAAAGAGTTTGGGATGGGAGGCTAAACATGAGGGGCAATGTGCTATTGTGTATTTTCAAAACCAAAGCAAAGCCCAGTGTCCCTCTGAAATCTCAGACTTCTCTGCTGTATATTCCAGTTGCATTTATCTGAGTAGTATGTTTCTGGCATACTCATATTTTACCTTGTTTCTTTGTTGACTGTATGAATTTTTCTTATCTCCTTAAATAGATTCTTTAGTTGTTTCAGGAACAGTATCTTGTTTTCTTCTGTGTTGGTTTCTTCATTTCATTCAAATGTTTGGTTGATTTGATAGCAGTAGTGTTGTACACCCATAGGTGTTGAGTGGTGCACAGGGTAAACACAGCCTGCTGCCATCTGGGTCCTGCCCATGCTATAAACGTAAAGGACCCTACCGGTATTGTCCTGATTCAGACTGAGAGCAGGCACTCTAGCTTAGGGGTCGGGAGTAAGAGGGTACTGGGGTGAGTGCTTTGAATATGGACTTGAGGGATTTGAAGTTAATCTTTTAAAATCTTGAAGCTTATCAGTCTGAAATTGTTCAATGTGCTTATCATCTGGAAAAATATAAACATTCCCATTCACTGATAGTCACTAATAGCCTTAGAAGACTTAGGTGCAGATTAAACATTTGAGTGATGCTAAAATGTTAAAAATGTACTTCCTGTGTTTAATAATCCTTGCTACACAGGAGCTGAAAATATGACCATATTCTCTAGAGAGCAGGAAAAGAAACAATTTGAGCTTGCCTGCTCAGTGCATCCTGGTTCAGCTGGCAGATACAAGACTAACTGCTTACAAGATGATCATGAGATCTTGCAGTAGCTGGCTGTCACTGCCATCAAACAAATAACTTGGAGGGAGACAAACAGTTGCCTCATATAGCAATCCCTGGTAACATCTTCAGGAATGAATAAGTGCTTTCTTCTTTCAGCTATACCCTTCTCCATCCTTTCATCTTAAAATGATGGACTTTCTCTACCAAGTAATCCTTTTTCCATCTGTGGTCTCCCCTCCTATAGAATCAGACACTTCTTGTTGATGTTGATATACTGAAGCACATTTACATTATATTCTTTTAGAATGGGCCTAATGATCATGAGGCTGTTTGTTTCTTAATGGTGCCACAGTTTTGCTTGCCATTGTGGTTTTCTTAGACATCTCCTGGTGTTACTTTGACTGTGATTATTTTGGTTTAAGCACTGAATGAGATGGAAGACATGGTGCAAGAAGATGGAGAGGTGATGGCCGAGAGTGGACATGAGACTCCAGCTCACAGTCAGGCAGTTATTCCTGTGGATGTTGATGAGGAACAAGCAGGTAATCATGTGACTTCCCACATTCATGGTTCTAAAAACTAGAGCCTGACTTTAATGAAGAAAGGAAAACACTGAGAATGATGTTTTTTGTTTTTTTGACATGACAGCTAATGATGTGTTACATGCTGTTTATCTTTGACTAGGCTTATGTTAGTTCTTGTTTGTGTGTGTGTGTGTATCTTATTTGTTTTTGATTTTTTTGTAACTGTGGCAGCAGCTCCTCTTTCTCTCTTGGTATACACACATACGTGTGTATGTGTGGAGAAAAAAAAACACTCAAGTTATAAATAGGAAAATAACCTGATTAAATGTCCTGCTTACTCTCCCTTCATTTTAGTGGGGAGAAGAAGCAGTGGAGAGGTTGATTTGGCATAATAAACAGAACAAGATCTAGTCTCAGTTTACCAGTGGGTCATTTATAGCAGCCATATAACCCATAAAGATTACCTGATAAAATCTTTCATCTTTACAGATAGGGAAACTAATATTCTTTCAAAAGTTTGAATGGTTTACTCAAGACCACTCAGCCATTGATCAAGGAACAGAATTGAGATGAGAACTAAAATTTTCTCACTCCTGGTCTGTTCAGATGCTACCTTGCCTTTGAATTGAAAACATCTTTAACTACCCTTGTTTTAAGTGTCTTACAGATGCAGTCGCTCACTCAACAAATACTTGAGTGCCTACCCTGTGCCAGGCATTATACAGTATGACAGGAAAAAGACAGGAAAGTTTCCTCACTTGTCAGAGAAAAGTGGGTTGTGAGAGTGAAGGTTTACAATGTGTAAGGCCAAGCAGACAGAAGATTTTTTGTTGTTCAGTCACCAAGTTGTGTCTGACTCTTTGTGACTTCATGGACTACAGCCTGCCAAGCTCCACTGTCCCTGGGATTTCTCGGGCAAGAATACTGCATTGAGTGCCATTTCTTACTCCAAGGGATTCCCAACCCAGGGATTGAATCCACCTGTCCTGCATTGGCAGGCAAATTCTTTACCACTGAGCCACCAGGGAAGCCCAAAACATTTTTTACATAAATAATCAAAGAACCAAATTGTAACATGCATCCAGCCTTTCAAGAACATATCTGTGACATCCAGTGCATTAGACCTGTACTTAGTTAAAGAATACATAATTCTCACCAGTCTATAGGTATCAGAGGCTTGCTTTCATTCAGACGTTTGCAAAATTAGAAAGATATCTAGCCTATTTTTCAAATGATTATAATGAGTATTATTTTTAGGATGATTATGTGACTCTTTCCAACAATGAAGATCTTGAAGGGAGATGGCATATGCTCTTCTACTTTAATTTTCCTTTATAATGTTGGGTGGTATATTAGTCATACTTAATGTTTACATAATGCTTTAGAATTAAAGTGTTTTCACAGTGTCTCATCCAAGTATATGCTCATGAAAATGAGTGATCAGGGAGGTTTCATAGAGCCAAAGCATCTCTGTGATCCCAAAATACTGGAAACAGTGTTTTGAGTGAAAGCCTTTCTTGGGCAAAACTTGACTGTTATGCCTTTGCTCTTTGTTGTAGGACCCAGTGGTCTTCAGCGTGTAGTAAAACCAACCCCAATTACTGTTCATGACTCAGAGAGTGATGATGAAGAAGACAGTCTAGAACTCCAAGAAGTCTGGATTCCTAAGAATGGTGCCCGGCGTTTCTCTGAACGTGAAGAAAAAACTGGAGAGTCTGTGCAGTCTAGGGAATTATCAGGTGAGAGACTGTGTCTTACTCTGACATGTTAGTGAGAGTCACCATGAGAACGGACACATTGGTCTTTATATACTGTGTCCCTACCACAACTTGTGGTACAGTTAACATATCCTTATGAAATGTGACAGGGGGCAAGAAAGGCAGCAGAGCAAGTAAGAGGGGAAAATCTGGGTGGCGCTGTCAAGGGCGAGTGCAGCACAAGAATATTGTGGAACTGGGGTTTGGGGAAGAGATGTGAGGATTGTCGGTCCCATAGTGGAGGCTTTAGGAAGTTGTGGCCTCAGAGTATCAGGGATGAGTGAGGGGCCTGTGCCTCACAGAAAAGACGACAACTGAGTCATCTAGGGCAGTGAAGAACAACCATTCCCCAGGTGGTCATCTGTCCACTTGTGCTTATTTAGCAAATGGTGGTGGTTAGTTTGGTGCTTGAGGAACTCCTGAATTATGTTCTTATAATCCCTTGTCTTCCTTTAAATCCAGTCCACAACCTTCTGCCATTTGCCTCACCAACAAACTTTAATTCTGTTACCTTTTAGGTTTATACTTCTTTCCTTGTCTTCCCTTCTATTTCTCAGAACCATATGCTTACCATTTTCTGCAAAGGATGAGGTTTTTTTAAATTGTCCACTCATTTTTCCTTGAAGACCCTATTCCTTAATGTATCTGAATGTTTAGTATATATTTGTATACATTTAACACCAAACCTGAAATGCACACACATTTCTGTGTATGGTAAGCTCAGTTCTTTAGACTTGGAATAACTTACTAACCACTAACTGATTACTCACTTCTTACTTTATTCCTTTTAAGAAATTCAGATTTATCTTTACGCTTGTTTAAAGGAGCTTTTATGGACACTGACATTTAGGAAAAGTCATGTGACCGGCTGACTAACCTAATGTTTCCTAGAAAGTTTAGTTTCTGAATTCAGAGACCAGATTTTGTGTCAGCCAGACAAAACCTAATTTAAGTATGCTTCTAGGTATATTCATTCAGCCTTACTGTGCCCACAGGTACTGTGTTAGGTGCTGTGAGGGGTGAGATGAATAGGTCTTGACCTCTGTCTCTTTCCCTCCCTCTGTCGGGAACCTCTAGTCTGCTTGAAGAGTCAGGTCAGAAACATAGATGTATTTTAGGTCATGTACTACGGTGGCTCTGGGGTGGGAGTGCAGAAGAGATTGAACAGATGTCCAAAGCCAAAAAAATGGTGAGAATCAAGGCTCCTAGGTAATAAGGTAGGGGTATATTCAAAGAAAAGTTTGGGTGGGGGTGTAGAATGTTTATAGAGGGGACAAGAGTGGAAGGTTAGTTTGCAGTTAGTTCATGACAAGCTGACCTCAAGAGTGTTAATCAGGTAGGCACTAGAGAGAAATAAAGAACTTTTGAGCAGCTGAGTGATGTGGTCACCATTATGCCTTAGGAAAATTAGTGTTCATTGTTTCCTGTTCCAGATTTACTCTTACCTTTTGTCCAGAATTTGTACTGAAATCTTTTCTTTTCCTCGGGCCGTTCTTCTTTTTCTATAAGCAGTAAGTGGAAAAGGCAAGACTCCACTTCGAAAGAGGTACAACTCCCATCAGATGGGCCAGTCGAAGCAGTTTCCTCTCGAGGAAAGCAGCTGTGAGAAAGGCTGTCAGGTCACCAGTGAGCAGATCAAAGCCGATATGAAAGCAGCTAGGGATATTCCTGAAAAGAAAAAAAACAAGGATGTTTATCCCAGCTGCAGCAGCACCACCGCCAGCACAGTGGGAAACTCCAGCTCACACAGCACTGCTTCTCAAAGCCCCGACTTTGTAAGGACGGTGAACAGCGGCGGCTCTTCCGAGCCTAGCCCTACAGAAGTGGATGTGTCCAGGCAGTGTGTCTGCTCCCCCGGTGGGTCAGAGGACTCTGAGGCCATGGAGGAGGGAGATGCAGAGAGTTCTGTCTGCCCCAGATGCTGCTGTCACAGGCCCCAGGAATCCCAAAGGAGAACTAGCAGGTGTTCTGATGAGGAACGTCCTTCAACCAGCCGAGCCTGTGTTGTGAATGGCCCGGATGGTACGAGATCCGCCTTTTCCTTTAGGACTCTGCCACAAGGGGGGTCTTCAGGCCCAGCACATGATGAGAGGACTAATGGGAGTGGCTCTGGGGCTACAGGTGAGGACAGGAGGGGGAGCTCCCAGCCTGAGCGCTGTGACGTGCAGTCTAATGAAGACTACCCTCGGAGGCCCCTAACAAGGGCCAGGAGCAGACTCTCCCATGTACCGCTGGTATCTGAGTCAGGTATGACAATGCTGCCAGGATTAGCTACTGCAGGTTAGGACCAGAGAAGAGCATTTGCTCGTTCTATAAGTTTTCTTACATAAAGCCAGTTTGGCAAATTGATTTCTATGTTTGGGTTCTGTGATCATATAGATCTTGAGCTAATTTTCAGCAGTGGGATGGGAGTGGGGAGTGGGGGTGGCATGTAAAACAGCTTGTAAGAAATCCAGTCAAGAAAAGCTTAGATAGTTATGCTTCTAAGAAAAGTATAATTGTGTATATGTATTGACCTTAAATACTGTACTGATTCTGATGTCTTATTCCCAATATATAAACTCTGCTCCCATTCCACAGTCAGTCTTAACTTTTAAGACTTAACTAGTTAAGTTTTAAAACCTTAGCCAAAAGGTAAGGACTGTAAGTTGTTGGGGCTGGGGGAGCACAGCATATGGGTATACCCCTATATATGCTTCTGCAGTATTTAGTAATTTTTTCCAAAGTCTAGTTTTGTATCCAGTCAGGTTTGCCAGGAGATAAGCAGGTAAGTAAGTGGTTTAGCTGAGAATTATTTTGATGAAGATATATTCAAGATATACATATGTATACAATTTCATTAATATCTATATGCCAAGGCATTGGATTTGGTAGGGGTAAAACACATTTCTTAATTATAATTCTGATCTTATTTTTAAATACTCTCTGCTGCCTTTATTAAGTTGTATATAGCTGTCAGTGAATAATACATTTTATTTTCTCTAAGTCTCACTCAATTTTAAAATCTTTGCATCAACACCCAGCACATAGAGTACCTTTTTATATACTAAATAGAGTTGATTAAATCATATGGAATTAAACTAACAAAAGCTGCTTTCATAAGATAAATATGAGACTTATGTACTGTTATCCGTCATAAACTCAAGTATATGAGTTTTATTTGAAGATTTTATTATGCTTTGCAAACATTAGATCTGCCATGAAGAAAATACTTTTCCCAGCTTGAATTTTAAATGCTTTCTATCTTTTTTATACATAACATGGATTTACCATTTTAATCATTTTGTAGTATATAGCTTATTAGCATTAGGTATATTCACATTGTTACGCATCCATCACCACCATCCAGCTCAACTTGTTCATCTTCCCACACTGAAAGTGTGTGCCCATTAAATAGAAACACCCCATTAGGGCACCCTTTGTGGTATGGTTTTTCATATTCGTAAAGTCAGATCTACATGTTTAGTTTTGTGATATCTTTATTTTTATGCTGTGGAAAGCCTTCTCTACACCTGGCTCAGATAATTGTTCACATCTTCTCATTCTTTTATTCATGTATTTGTTTACTTTAGTTTAAATCTTTATTATAATCTTTGGGAACTGTTTTTTAATTACAAATTGTCACCTAATTGTCTCAATACTACTTATTGGCATCCATCCTCATCATTATTCTGAAATACTCTTTTATCATGTACTTTGCCTCTGTTGCAGTTTATCTCTTGGCATGCTGTCCTATTCCAGTGTTCTGTCCTCTTTGATTACTCTTTGCAAAATTTCTTTGGTTAGTCATGCATTTGTCACTTATTTTTATGGTTTTATAATTTGTCAAGTTGCAGAAACAAACATTCCTATGTTTTGTTTGTAATCCTGTTACATTGATTGACTGAAAGATAATGATCAGTTTTTGAGTCTGCCTATTTAGGGACTATTTTTGTCTCCTGTGCCTTGGTAAAGTTTTAAGGTTTGTTTGTGGGGTGGGGGATCCATATTTTTAATATGGATCCTTCACATTAACCATCTTAGGAAAGGGGGTTTGACTTCTTTTCCTTATGTTCTGTTGTTCCCTTTGCCACTTTTCTTCTGACTTGTTTCCTGACTAGAACTTTTTCTTGGGTTAAATAATTTACTAGAATTAAATTTATGTAGTGCTTTTTACTTTTTTAGGTAGATTATATCTGTTGTCTTATTGATTTTTTTTTTATTCCAATTTGAGAAGACTTATAATGTCTATAGTGTATAGTGTCTATGGTAGGTAAATTATTTGCTGATATTTTTAAACACAATACAAATGTCCGTTTACTTTCAATAATGGCTTTTCTGGGGAAATTTCAAACTGCTGATTTTTAAATTATCCATATCTCTTGGGAAGAACAAGTTTTATATGGGTGACTTTCAGTTTGCTATTTTTAATCTATCATTTTTTAAAATATCTGCTGGCCATTCTGCTTTAAAAGTTTTAAGGAGAAAAGTCCAAACTAATAAAGGAATAAACTTGACTGAGTGTTACAGATATTTTTAAAATCACTTCAAAGAAAATATTTGAGTTTTTAATTTGGTTTTTTATTTATGGCCTTATGTAGTGTTAAAACCATATTAGAAGTAGTTATTTGTCTTGTGATTTCCTATATTGGGAATAAATGCCTGTAAGTTGTTCTTTTTCTCCTCATTGTAGAATGCTTTATGAAATAAATATCACAAAAATAACTAATTGGATTGTCAAAGAATGGCATTTAAGATGAATATGATACGGTTCTCATGAATACTAACCTCTTTCCTTAACACCCATGACTGCATTGGTCTGCTTTTCTGTGTTTCTGTAGCATCTTCACTAATGTCAACTACACTGTGTATTGTAATTCCATGTTTTACTGTCTATTTTTCTAATAGACTATGAGCTCCATGAGGGCAGGGACAGTGTCTGCTTGCTCACCATAATATTCCCAGCTTCTAGCACAATGTCTTACATGGTATGGGTCTTGAGTGAATAACTGTGAACTTAATAAGTGGTAGGAGCCATCATATGAGGTATGTTGATGCTGATGGATGTATAAAATCACTAAAGATTGTCCCTAAACAAAGAAGGAGGCATAAGAAAAAAACACAATGAACTCTTGTTTTCTTTTTACATTGGGAAACATTTGTTTTTTCAAGATTATCTACATATAAAATGTGACTTAGTTTTATAATTTTTCTTAGAAAACAAACTGCCAATTTGGGTACTCAGGAGAACAGGAAATTTAACTTTGAGCCCCATATTCTGATCAGTTGAAGAGTAGGGGAGGGAAGCAATCCATGACGGTGGGAGGTTGAAGATTGGAGCATGAAAGGAGAGTGCTGAAGGAAGAGTCTTACTCGAACACTGTGATGAAGGAATGAAAGCAAACCTGTTTTTGCTTTTGTGGTACTGGGAGAGGGAACCAGGACTTATTATTGGTTGAAACAGGTATGTGAAATTTGGCTGTTGTATGAAAGGTGCTGCTGTTAGATTCCCTGTCAGTGAGGATAATTATATTATTCATGAAGCTCCTTCAGGAGTACTGTGTAAGTTGGCCTTTATCAGTAGTTTTCTTTTCCAGAAACCCAGGGTTTTTGCTTGAGTTCAAAGTCCTTGGAGGAAGTTTGATAGGTAAAAACTCTTGAACTCCCTTCTAGGCTTCAACCAAAGTAGCTGTCTTCAGTTGTTTTGCATAATATTTCACAAAGATTTTGAATGGTGGAGGAAAGAGTTCTGGTATATTGAAAAGAGAAAAAAAACCACTTGAACTGGATCTGTAAAGTTCCTATACAACCCCAGGCCTTTGGAAATTTTCAGTATTTGTACCTTGTTTCCCTTTCTTTGTGGCCTTTCAAGTTTGAAGTGCAAGAGTTACCAAGTGGAATGTTTATAATCTAGTAGTAGTGTGCAGTATAATGGGATTTAATTAATAAATGTCAGCCTTACTTCATTCAGTATATGCTCTGGTACAGAATGACTCAAAACGAAGACAGTGATTTAGTGTCTTGTCTTGGAAAATATATGTGCTTGTTAAGTTTTTGAGATGAATTTTGAACTCATACTTAAATAATATCAACATATTTGATGATTATATAATTAAACTATAATGTTTTAGAACAATACTAGTAAATGAATTAGAGCCTTACTAGGCAGGGTTTGGCAGATAAGTGATTGCAGGTTTTCTAGCACAGTGGTAGATACCTTGGCAAACCGTTTTCTTTTTCCATGTCTGAGTTTACTTATTTGTAAAGCAAGGAGAATAATCTATCTCAAAGGGCTATTAACAGGATTAAATTAGTTAATATAAGTAAAACCCTGAGAAAAGTGCCTGACACACAGTAAGTGCTCAGTAAATATTTGCTATTACTGTTATTCCATTGATGTATCTGTGATGCTTTCAATCATTCAGTAAATGTTGAGTGCCAGTTCATTCAATAAATGTTCATTTTAGCTCATTGTTAGCAGCTGATGTTGATACGAAGATGAAATAAGACAATGTTGTTGTCTTCAAGGAGCTTTTAGTTTAAATCGAGAAATAAAACATATACAGGGAATTATAGAACCAAATGTTTGGGGATCCAGGTGACTTATCAGAGCAGGTAGCATTTAAGCTGGACCTTTCAGGGATGGGTAGTATTTCAAAAATTGAAGTCAGGAAAGGTGGGCAGGAAAAGCTAAAATGATCAATGACTTCAGAGCCATTGGCAATAGGAGATGACTAAGATATGATATGGGGTAAAATTGACAAAGGTTGGGGCTAAAGTATAGCTCCAAATGTCAGGCATTAATATGTATTCCCTAAGCAGTAGTCAATGATTTAAAGTTGTTTAGCAGGAAATTGGTGAGTTTAATCTTACCAGTAGTATTTAGGATGGGTTGAGTGTCTAGAGACGAGAATGTTGATTAGATTGTTGGAATGGCCCAGGTATGAAGAGCACGGTGTATATTTGACGTTGGTATGTTTGAGACAGTGGAAGGTTATCTTATTTTGGGAGTCATTTGGAAATGGCAGTCTGTTTGTATTCCTTTGAGAATCAAGTAGTAGAATTGAGAGTTGCCTTAATGGAGTTTATACCTATGCATTTGAATGTGCTCTCTTTGAAAGAAAGACAACAAAGCTAAAATTTTAATTTCCTCTCGCCTTTTTTAGAAGTTGCCAAAACAAAGCCACGTCATGCCATGAAGCGGAAGCGGACAGCGGATAAGTCCACTAGTACCAGTGATCCTGTGATCGAGGATGACCATGTGCAGGTGAAGGGGAAAACCTTCACTTACCTTTCAGTCCTACCAAGTTCCTGAATAATGTAAAGGAACTAAAGTTTCCATCTTTACATATTTTCTTTGCCCTAAAGAGAAGAGATTGGTAGTAGTTGCTTCTCAGTTGTGCCAGTGAAAACATTTAAGTTGTTTTTTTTTTTTTTTAAGTACATACTCTAGAAGGTACATCTTCTAAATTTTTTTCCTTGTAGGTCCTTGTATTAAAATCCAAAAATCTTGTTGGAGTCACTATGACCAACTGTGGAATCACAGATCTAGTGCTGAAAGACTGTCCCAAGATGATGTTCATCCATGGTATGTACTTGGGCCCATGTCATACTAGAGCATCTGACTGAGCTAAAGGGTTAAAGTCTCATAAATACTATAATAACATTACTGTAGTGCTTTTTCAAAAGAATCAGTTAGATTTTTCTAATTCTGTCCTCATTCTGTAGTTCTCAACTCTGTAGTATTTGCAAGGGGCCATGTGCGGAGACTTAGTTTATCTTTTAATGTAGACTCTCCTCCAGTGTTCTCCTCAAGATAATTGCAACTTGATCTGACACAGGCTAAGTCAACAGCATTTATGAGCTTTGGAGTCAAGTAGGCCTCAGCTTGAATCCTTCTTTGCTGTTTTCTAGTTGTGGTGTTGGACATGCCTTTACGTGTGTGTTTACAGAGGGAGTGGTGACTGGGCCTTAAGTGCTTGACTGCTCTGGATTTGATACCATCAGTCATAACCTCTGTTCATGGCACATCATCCTTAGTCTAGGCCCTGCTTTTCTTTCCAGTCCCATTTGTCCCTCATTGCCAGTCCCATTGGCTCCCATTACCTTTGGTTGTGTATTTAATATATGTCCTTCCAGTACATTTCTCATGTCTTTTTAATATATATATTTATCTCTGAGCAAATAAGTGAGTTATTAAAAGTTTAAAATTTTTAAATCGAAAATGTGTGAGTTAAAAGCTTCAGATATATAGTATGCTTCATATATTATCTGTTTATTTTTCCATTATTACTCAAAATTGTTTTAGATACTATCCATGTAAAATCATTTAAGAACTGACTTGTTTCTTGCTTTGTGCAGCTTATGTATTCTGCATTGATTTTTTGGGGGCTCTGTAAAGTGTACATAATTATACTTTATAAAGCATTTGCCAAGGTTTAATGGAGTGATTGATATGTGCTTACACATATGTATATGATATGTGAGATTAAAAAAAGGAAGGGGGTATTTTTCTGAAGTTGGTATCTTATTGTAGTTAAATGTGTCACATTTACTTTTCTCTGTAACCTCATATTTATATGTTAAATGGGAAGAATATTTAATCATGTTTCAGAGCAGCACTTCCAGTAGAACTTTCTGCAGTGATGGAATATTCTGTATCTCTCTTGTTTTATATGTAACCCCTGGCTACGTGTGACTTTTGAGCATTTGAACTGTGACTAGTGTCTGAGGAACTAAATTGCTTTATTACATTTTAGTTAATTTAAATTTAAATAGCTCCAGATATCTAGTGACTACCATACTGGACTGTACAACTTTAGACCAAAGTATCCAAATATTTCTGAGTTTTGTTTGTTTTTTTTTTTAAAGGTTCTGATTTTATACTGTGATAAGAATTGAAATCAACACTGCTTATTCCCTATGGGCAAATGAAAAATAACACATGTGAACCGTTACCCATAAAGTTGTATATAGTTCAATAGTTGCTATCATTCCTCCTCTTCAATAAACATTTCCTAAACAATTCCTGTATTTAGGCAAGTCATTGTCTGAGACTTGAATTTCTTGTCAGTAACATCTTAGATAGGAAAAGGTCCCTTCACCTCCCTTCTAGCATGAGGGTGACAGTCTTCCTTTGAATGGGACAGAATCATATTTTCAAGTCATTTTTATGGCTGTCAGTTGTCCTGTATAATAATACTTGGCCTGTGTTACAGATGTTTTTAATTGCAGTATTTTATGCTAATGAAAGATATGCCAGTCCTCCAAAGAGGATTCCAAATGGGCTATATATGTTGCTCTGTTATTTTGTATAAATTATTTGTAGATCTTATCTTTGTTTTCATTTTGTAGCTACAAGATGCAGGGTACTAAAACATTTAAAAGTAGAAAATGCACCAATCGTAAACCGATTTGATTATGCACAGTGCAAGAAACTGAATATGGATCAGGTACTAGACCAGATACTAAGGATGCCTCCTGAGAGAAACCGTATCATATACCTACGCCCCATGCAGCAGGTAAAGAGCTCTGCTTCTTTTTGGTGATGACATATTGCACTCATCCTTTTTTTAGTCTTCAACCTTTTTAAAATTGGCTTTTATTCATTTGCTGAATCCACAGTAATGTTTCTTTGGGTTCTCCAGAGTTGTTTAACCAACCTAGACTGTCTTGCCAGTTTTCTGCATCAGTGCTTCTCTAATAGATTGTTGTGGGGCTTTGAGCAAGTTATATGATGAAGAGAGTTGTTTTTCAACAAGTTTTTGTACTTATTAAAAGTTGCCTGTGATAAAGAGCAGGCTCTGGTTTCAGACTTCTTGGTTCCAGTTCTGGTTCACTGATCTGTAGCAGATTGCTTGACTTCTATATTTTAGTTTCTTCATCTCTAAAATTAGAAGAATAAAAACCTGCAGTTATTGTGATGGTTAAATTAATACATGTTAAGTGCTAGCACAGTTCCTGGCATATATCAAGCAATCAAATGATAGTTGCTGTTATTACCATTATCATTATTAAGAGTAAACGTTTTATAGCATCCATATGAGATGATGGCTGTTAACTGAACCTTTTGTGGTAGAATTTCACTATATTAAGCGTTGTGCTGTGTACCTTAAGTGTATACAGTGATGTTTGTCAATTATTTCTCAATAAAAGAGGGGAAAAAGAGTAGCATTGCATGTAAAACTGCTTGATGTCAAAAGAAAGTTTAAAGGAAATATTAACCTTTAAACAATCAGTGTTTGCAGTCAGTGTTTGAACCTGGCCTGAAAAGAGTCATTTCAATACACAGATTGTTTGTTGAATGTTTATAATTTGCTGGGGCTGAAAAATACACAGGTCATCATCCTTCCCTTGAGAAATTTGCCTTTCCACGAAGGAGGTAGACATATATGTCATTAAGATGGCAAAGTGGGATTTCATAAGTATAATAGGGATGCAGTGTGAACAAAGGCTACAAGGAAGCAAGGAAATGTGTTCTGTCTTTAGGAATGGACAGTAGTCCAGTTAGAATGAGGTTTATGGTTCTACACTCACAGATCTATAATATATTGTCTTTAAACCTTTAAAGGACATACTCAGAAGTGAATTCCTGGGATCAGTTACCTAAATCCAGATTCTCTGATTTAATGTGCATTTATACAACGGTGAGATGTAAATTGTTGAGCTTGCTAGACAGATGAATTTGCTCAGCCTTATTCCTAGCATGGCAAGTTGTGTCCAGGGCAGAATGTGACTATTTGATTTTCAAATTAGCCAAAGATTCAAAAACTGAGGTCCCAAGGAAAGATTATTCAAGCCGGAGGAGATAGATTTCTAAGGCATTCTCTTTCTTGGTTCCAAATCCTCTCTGGTATTTTCCACAGGTGGACACACTAACATTGGAGCAGAAGCTATTTAGTGGTCCCTACCCTTATCATATCTGTATTATCCATGAATTCAGTAACCCTCCCAATGTCCGGAACAAGGTGCGCATTCGCAGCTGGATGGACACGATAGCAAACATTAACCAGTAAGTAATCTGCAGCCCTGACAGCCTTCTGTATCATTCTGTGGAGCAAGGACACCCAGAAACAAATCCTAATTGTTTTTTATTTTAAATGATTTCATCCAGGCTTTTCAGGCACTGACACACATGAAATATGTGGAAAAAATGAGGGAAATAAGACTTAAAACTAAAATGCATACATGTATATTTGTAACTTTTTATTTTCGAACTTAAAAATCACAAGAACAGGCTGTACATGTACCTTTAGTTTCATGCCTTTAGCTTACAGCATGTTTGGTTGGTTGTCATGGTTTAGTCGCTAAGTCATGTCCCACTTTGGCGACCCCATAGGCTATAACCTGCCAGGCTCCTCTGTCCATGGGATTCTCCAGGAAAGAATACTGGAGTGGGTTGCCATTTCCCTCTCCAGGGAATCTTCCTGACCCAGGTATCAAACCCAAGTCTCCTGCATTGTAGGCAGACTCTTTAATGACTGAGCTACAAGGGAAGCCCCACAGCATGTTTAAAAGAAGTCAAATTAAAGATCTTAAAAAAACTCTGTGTTTTAAAAAAAGAATGTATTTTTTGGCTCCACTAGGTCTTTGTTGCTGTGCATGGGCTTTCTCTGTTGCAGTGAGCAGGGGCTACTCACTGGGGTGCACAGACTTCTCATTAGGGTGACCTCTCTTGCTCTGGAGCACAGGCCCCAGAGCACGTCGACTCCAGTAGTTGGGGCCCACCGGCTAAGTTGCCTTATGGTGTGTGGAATCTTCTTGGAACAGGGATTGAACCCGTGTCTTCTGCATTAGCAGGCAGATTCTTAACCACTGGACTGCCAACCCACTCCAGTATTCTTGCCTGGAAAATCCTGTAGACAGAGGAGCTTGGTGGGTTACTGTCCATGGGGTCGCAAACAGACACAACTTAGCAACTTAGCGTGGACCACCAGGGAAGTCCAAAACTTTGATGTTTTACGTCATCAGAATATATGCATCAGTCTTTACACATTTGTTATTTTAATATTTTGTTTGAGATCTTCATTAGAATTGAGGCAAGACACATTTTGATAGTTCCTTTCTAACATATATCCCAACATTTTATTCAGTTTTATAATTTTTTAATTTTTCTTGTTGCCTCCAGAGAGCTCATTAAGTATGAATTCTTCCCTGAAGCCACACGAAGTGAAGATGACTTAAAGAAGTACCCTAAGTATCCCTGGGGTAGAGAAATCTACACGTTAGAAGGTGAGCATTTATTTGTAAATGGTTGGAAAGCTAAATAGCTGTTAACTAACTAGACGGAGAGACACGTCTTAGGGAAGGTAGAAGTGGCTTACAGTTTGTCAAAGTAACGGGAATATTAAATATCTGCAGGTAGCAGGGATGAGATACATATTGCTCTCCCTGTATGAGTCCTTGCCATCTCTTAAAATGACCGACAGTATTGAACGAAAAGTAAAAGAAACTGAAACTTGATACAGCTTGAGTTGCAGTGACTTGAGGGAACCTGTGTCAGCCTCTTTATTTGTTTATACACACACACACATAAAGGGAGAGAAACTGAGGCTTAATGAAAGCCAAGGATGATCAAAATCACGTGACCAAGTAGTAGCAGAGCTAGAATTGGAATCCATAGCTCTGGTGCTGCTTTCGAAATGCTACACCATTTGGCCCTATCATTACTTCCCCACCAGTAGCACTGTTGATCTGTCTTCTTTCAGGTGTTGTGGACGGAGCGCCGTATTCCATGATTTCAGACTTCCCTTGGTTGAGATCACTACGGGCAGCAGAACCTAACAGCTTTGCCAGATACGATTTTGAGGATGATGAAGAAAGTAATTATGACCTGACTTGATTTTTATTCTCTAGTTTGAGTGTTAGATCCTGAGTACTTTGTGTTACAAGCAGTGCAGCTTTTAATCACTTCCCATATAAATGTTTTTGCTTTTTATTATTGTTTGGTTCTCCCCTTGCTCAAAACAGAACAGCTCTAAATGCGTACAATAGAGAATCATTGACTTAACTAGGGATATGTAGGAAGGAGCCCTTCAGACAGATTTTCCTGCCTAGTTTTTTTTTTTTTTTTTTAGTTACCTAAATGTTGATGATCTTGTTACTTTTTATTAAAGAATTGGTCTGTTATATTGTCTCAAAATTGTTCCACTTATACTAATTGTTCTGCTAGTTATGAGCTGCTGCTTGTTGGGTAGCATATGGGAACTTAACAGTTTAGGTGTAGATTTTAGGAAGAAATAGATTTCATAAACTAAATGTACATATATATGACTTACATCTCTGGTGCATTTTCTCCTTGGGCCTTTAATCATATGTGCTCTTTTTGGCATCAAACATAGTATTATAACCACACTGATGGGAACCCACTCCATGAGCTAAACATACATCAGTACAGTCCATGAGAGTATACAGGCTTATCTCATGGACCAGCTTAATCAGAGTAGCTTCCCAAATGATTTTGATAATCTTGTTTCCCCTTTTCTTTCTACTTTCCAAGGCACCATCTATGCTCCTCGAAGGAAAGGGCAGCTGTCTGCAGACATCTGTATGGAAACAATAGGAGAGGAAATTTCAGAGATGCGTCAGATGAAGAAGGGTGTGTTTCAGCGAGTAGTGGCGATCTTTATCCACTATTGTGACGTCAATGGAGAGCCCGTTGAAGATGACTACATTTAACTGGCCCTCTTCTTTCCAGCTGTCCTGGGAGTGCTGCTGGGGCCACCCAGCTGCCAGCGAGCCCCACAGAGACTTGGGGGCATGCACTTGGGAGGCCCGGGCTCATTTTGGTGTATAGAAAATGTATCAGGAACATTGAAGTTGTATACAAAGATTTGTACATAGAGGAGATATACAAAGATACTTCCTAAGTACCAGCTTTATATCATATGTTTATACAGTTTAATTTAAAAGTTCATTTTAATGAAGGCAGGTAATTGGAAAGAGTTCATTTTGTTCATTTTTCCAGACTTAGTTCATAAAGTATCACTTTTTGGCTGAGCCCCCATTTACTATATTCTTAATAATCACTGTCATCCCCTTAAATCTGTGCCTTTTTCTTCTCGAGCAAAGCTGTTTGAGTAAATCTGTTGAAGAGTCTTTTTGTCTTGTGCTCTTTTGTGTTTATTAAAACTCCAGTTAAACCTTATAGTCAGAGGCGGCTATATGTTTCTGTAAAAAATTGTGGTTCTTTTTTCTCTTGGTATTATAGTTACCGTATTTCTTAAAATGAAGTTAAAAAGACTTACGAGTTTGAGGGGGAAATGGAAAAGTTTCCGAAGCATTTCTAGTTATTTATTTCCATATTCAGTTGTGTATATGCTTTATCTTGAATATGAAAATAAAAGTTTATTAAAATTTTTTTCATGTCTTGGAACTGAAACGCTCATTTTAAAGAAGAGGAACAGATACTACATAGCAAAGGAATGTGTAGATACAGTTGTGTCTAAGTAAGATTTTAGTGTAATCTAATTGTGATCGCTTTTTTAAAAGTTCTGTGGCTGCAAAATGTTCAACTCACAGAACTCTTTTTGATAGAACACTGAGAGCAGCAGAATTTCCCCAGATACCTTGTCTTCAGGAGATGTCCTTTCTCAAGGAGAGAAATTTACCTGATACACAGCAGTGACAGATGCAGTATCACAGTGTCCAGGATTAAGGCAAAAAAACCTTTAGAGCAACACCTGCATTTGGTGCTGGCTTTGCCAGTTCCTAGCTGAGTAACTACACAAACTGAAAGTCTGTGGGAATATTTTATAATCTCTTTCCAAATAGAATATGTAATTACGATCTGTATGAGGTGTAAGTGTCCAGCCCCTTCATTTACAGGGGATTAATTGAAGCCTAGAGGGAAAACGACTTTCTCATGGTCAGGGGCGGATTAAGGTCAAGCCGGACAAGAATTCTAGTGTCTGATTCCTACCAGGCTGCCTCTCTCTTCATCGTTAATACTTAAAAGAAAGACAAGGTGCTGGCAAGTATTTACTAACACTCACCCTGTTAAATCAGTTCCTTAGGACTTTAATTAAATTTGCCTATTTATATTAGGAAGAATGGTGCTGCATTCAGTCATCTCTATTACCTTGTTTTTAACTCAGCTACCTCTCTTCTAAGAGTGTATTCCACTCTCCAGGTGAGAGCTGTGACCACTAAAAGGTGGGAAACAAATTACAGGACATTCTAGATAATTTCAAAGTAATACAGAGCCCCCAACTCTCAGCTAAGACTCATCTAAACCTGTTTTTTCACTGTAACCATAACGTGTGTATGAGTTTCTCAGTAGTTTCCAACTGTTTGCAACCATCTTTACTGTACCCTGTCAGGTTCCTCTGTCCATGGAATTCTCCAGACAAGAATACTGGAGTGAGTAGCATTCTCTTCTCTAGGGGATCTTCCTGACCCAGGGATTGAACCCAGGTATCTTGCATTGTAGGCGAATTCTTTTACCGTCTGAGCCACCAGTGAAAGTTGCTCAGTCCTGTCTTGACTCTTTGCGACACCGTGGATTATATAGTCCATGGAATTCTCCAGGCCAGAATACTGAGTGGGTAGCCTTTCCCTTCTCGAGGGGATCTTCCCAACCCAGGAATCGAGCTCAGGTCTCCCGCATTGTGGGCGGATTCTTTACCAGCTGAGCCACAGGGGAAGCCCAAAAGCCACGAGGGAAGCGTAAGCATAACAACCAAATCTAAGTAATGCCTTTGGCTTAAAACACGACATTCAGAAAACTAAGATCAGGGCATCCGGTACTATCACTTCATGGCAAATAGATGGGGAAACAATGGAAACAGTGACAGACTTTATTTTTTTGGGGGGGGGCCTCCAAAATCACTGCAGATGGTGACTGCAACCATGAAATTAAAAGACATGCTCCTTGGAAGAAAAGTTTTGACCAACCTAGACAGCATATTAAAAAGCAGTCACATTACTTCCCCAACAAAGGTCCATCTAGTCAAAGCTTTGGTTTTTCCAGTGGTCATGTATGGATGTGAGAGTTGGACTGTGAAGAAAGCTGAGTGCTGAAGAATTAATGCTTTTGAACTGTGGTGTTGGAGAAGACTCTTGAGAATCCCTTGGACTGCAAGGAGATCCAACCAGTCCATCCTAAAGGAGATCAGTCCTGAATATTCATTGGAAGGACTGATGCTGAAGCTGAAACTCCAATACTCTGGCCACCTGATGCAAAGAGCTGACTCATTTGCAAAGACCCTGATGCTGGGAAAGATTGAAGGCGGGAGGAGAAGGGTTTGACAGAGGATGAGATGTTTGGATGGCATCACCGACTCAATGGACATAAGTTTGTGTAAGCTCCGGGAGCTGGTGACGGACAGGGAAGCCTGGCATGCTGCAGTCCATGGGATCGCAGAGTTGGACACGACTGAGCGACTGAACTGAACTGAAGTAAAATGCTTAGATTTAAGGCCACTAGAGGCCGCTGCTCTCCAACTTTTGTTGGTTTAATGTGTCTCAATGTCTCACCTGATTCACTCTTAGAACAAGCAGAAGTACAGCAGGGACGGTTTAAGTTATTAAAGATCGCCAGCCTGGAACAACTGAAAAACAAAACTTGGAAGATGCCTACCATCGAAGGCAAACTGTCTGTAGAATGAAAGGCTGGATAGAGATTGCCCTAAAGCAGCTATCGGCACACTTTCTGTTCAGGGCCATAGGTTCAACTATGACAACCACTTTGGTGGCTCAGTGGTAAAGAACTGGCCTGCCAATGCAGGATACCTGGGTTCAATCTCTGGTTTGGGAAGATCCCCTGGAGAAGGAAATGGCAACCCACTCCAGTGTTCTTGCCTGGAGAATCCCATAGACAGGATCCTGGCAGGCTACAATCCATGGGGTTGCAAAGAGTCAGACACGGCATAGCAACTGAAAGACAAACAAAAATGACAACCACTCAGTTCTGCTGTTGTGTGAAAACAGCCATAGAGGAAACATCAAGGAATGGGCATGGCTGTGTTACAATAAAACTTTATTTTTTGGAAACAAATCCGAATTTCACATAATTTTCACATGTCACAAAATATCTTGTTTTCCAACCACTTTAAAAAGTAAAAACCAGTCTTAGTTTACAGGCTGGAGGATTTGGTCCCTAAGTTGTTTGCCCATATCTACCTGCAACAGAGAGCTGAGTTGTCCTGTTGGTCCACTCAGTTGTGTGTAACCAGTTCTTGGTGCCGTGTCTAGCAGATATTTTAAAGACCTTAAGAAAAGTTTCATGGATGGATTACTGAATTAATGTCACTTTTAGAGAATCAGGCCAGATGTGTGAGTCCTAACAATCTCCAAATAATAGCTGACGCCACAGTTCTTCCAGGAACTTCATATTGGAATCAGAAAACCCGGGCTCATATTCTGATCCATCAGATGACTGCTGGGTGCTGCAGATGGTCAAAACCCTGAGATTGGAGCCTCAGTTTCCTCATGTAGAAAGGACTAACACCCATGCCACACGGCAATTGTGAAGGTCCAATGAGAGCCTTCAGTAAACTGAACAATGTAATGCAAGTGGAGGTAGTATTGCTTCCACCATAATTCCCTTTATTGTGAAAGGGTTGTCTTTTTTTTTTTTTTAACCTAATCATACTATAACCTTCTGTTCCTTAGATCAGATCCCGGGATGATAGGAAGCAGAGTGAGAACTGGTGAGGCCATTACGAGGAAGCAATGATACCAAGAGGGCATCCCTGGTGACCCAGTGTCTCCACCTGCCAATGCAGGAGATACAGGCTTGATCCCTGGGTCGGAAAGATCCCCTGGAGGAGGAAGTGGTGACCCACTCCAGCATTCTTGTCTGCGAAAATCCCATGGGCAGAGGAGCCTGGCAGGCTACAGTCCATGGGGTCGTGAAAGAGTTTGATGCAACTTAGCGACTAAACAATAACAACGATATGATGAAATCGTTTTTAAAATGTTTTACCAAGTGCTTTTCATGTATATCCTTATACCAACACTTTAAAATATATATGACCATTAGTTCCCGACTTTATTTCTGGGGAAACTAGTGTTTAATAGGTTTAATATCTTGCTTACAAACACACTGCTAACAAGTGGTGGAAGCAATCTGACTAAAGCCCATGCAGCTGAGCAAAGTGGCTTAGTTCCTCAGAGGGAGAGAGGAGACCACATGAGGCCCATCAGAGAGTGAGCCCCATCTCCACCCTCCACCCCCACCCAGGGAAGCGGCCCTATCAGAGTTCCTGCTGCCACTTAAACTTGAAGCAATTTCTTGATCTTCATATGTTAACACAGCCCCAGAAGAAGAGAGGCTGCTGATTTTCTGATGCAAGCCTCAAATGCCACATTCAGATGTGAGATGCAGTAAGAACATAAACAACACTGCAAACTAGACAATGTCTATCCTATGAGATACACACAGCAACTAAAAAGAATGAGGAATCACATATTGATGTGACATGAAGTTATACCTTAGCAAAGGTAAGTTGCAGTTATACACTGCATCATCTTATTTATATATAACAAGAAACCAAAACCATGCATTTGTATATGTACATTTTGACACATACAAATACAAGGAATATGTTCTTAAATTATATAAGCCAGATAAGGAGGGCAGTAGCTTCTTGGGGGGGGAGTGGAACTGAGTTGGTGTCAAGTGGAATTTTGTGGTATCTTTATTATTCGATTACTTTGACTTATTAGATCTTTATTATTTTATTATTATTAGATGGGGATGGCACGCATAAATACATTATCTGTATAACCCATCATTTATGTAGTCTTAAACGTATAATTTGCATAATCAGAAATAAATGTTAAGAAGAGGAGGAAGAAAGCACTCAGCTAGGATGGAATGTCCTGGCATGTTTTTAGCCCCCATTTCTGCCCCATTTCTATGCTTCTGCTGTGTTCTTAGGCAAATCAATTTCCGTGACAAAGTCTACTTCCTTTTCTAGAAAATGAATCCCTTTCCCCAAGCTGCTGGGAGAGGCTCAGATACCCCGCTGTGAAAGTGCAGAGAAGCTGTGAAGGGCCTGCAGTGCTGAGCTGATGGGACAAATGGGAACCTGTCTTTGTCATGTTTCAGGCTCCAACTAGAAATGTGAGGAAGTCAGGCTGCCTTCCACTGGGGCCACTCCTGCTGGGCCACTCCTGCTGACGGTCAGAAACATAAAAGACTAACCTCTTTGGCTCACACACCTGATCCCCAAGGTCCTTTGCTAGTTTTTCAGTGACTCCTGGCTGCTGAATACAAGAAGACTATGAGACATCAGTAGGGAAAGGTCTTTCCTTCTGATTAATCTTCAGTCTGAATCCCTGCAATGTTTAAAGATGGAAATTGAGGCTCAGAAAGTGAAAGGGAGCAGAAGATACAGCAAGTGTGTGGCAGAGTTTCACTCTGGAGTAGACCTGTCCCTAGCTCTTCTCCAGGTCCCAGGCCTACATGGAAGGGACATTCTCAGGAAGCATGAGGACAGGGCCAGCCTCGGCTTGTTCACCGCGCTCTCCTGGAACAGGGTCCAACATGGGCATGTGGAGTCGGACAGTCCCAATAAGGAACTGTCGCACGCATGTAGGGCCGTGGGGTTTAGAGTCAGACTGGCTGCCAGCATTCCCATTCCAAATCCACAGTTCCCAGGTCTGTTCCCTTGAACTTGTCACCATATCTCTCAGTGGAGATGTGCTTATCTGGAAAGCAGGGCAAACTCTGGTACTTATCTTGTAAGGATTTTATGAGGGTTATAGATGATCCCATGTAAATCACTTACCACAGTGCCTAGCAGAAAGGAGCTCATTAGATGCTCCTTCTCTTATTATTGATACATTATTATTATTATTATCATTTTATTATTACCTAAGACATGTTCTGGGGTGAGCTGAAAAAGAAATGGAAAGGAGAAACCTAATCTGAACCTAAGATAACAGTAGTTAAAAATATAAGCAGTTTTACTTCCCTTCTATGTTGCCAAAATGTAGGAATGCAGCTTGTCATGAAACCACATTAACTCAAAGTTTGGAAGTTCTTCTCAGGTAAGTCCCCTTTCAACTCTTCTTAGCTTAAAGATACCTCATGGGAGGTGGGTGCCCTAACAACTCTCTGATACTCACTGTTTCCCTTTCAAACTGGAAAGCAGAGAGCAGGCTCTATTAAAACTTAATAACCATGTTTTGTTTTCATTTATTTCTCTCTGTGGCTGCTTTCTATTTATGGCAATACTGATTTTCTATTTGGGGGTACTGATAGAATGTTTCTTTCTAAAATAAATCTATATGAGTAAAAACTTGAACTGACTTAAATAAACATATTAAATAAATAACAGTACAGGCAGGACACATGTTTGATAAAAATCCTTGGGTGACGTGTTAGAACATTTAACAATCCTACCAGCTCAGAGATTGTCTCCATTTTGTAAATGAGATAAGTGAGGCAAGCGCTGGTTAAGGAAGGCCCAAAGTGACACGGTGTCTCAAACTCGAGCCTTCAAATCCATCCCTGATTTGTTCACATTCAAATCAAATATTCGGCCTCAGTTTTCTAGATTGGATGGAGAAGAGATTGCATGTTATGGCTAGAAGAGGTAAGTGCATTAGTCTTCCCCCCACCCCCCACTCTAGACTAGCTATTACAGTAACCAGAGTAAACCAGAGTCATACAGAAAAAGAGAAAAGCAATACTGATCTCTCACCAAAGAGAGATAGAACACCAAAGAGAAAAACGGATGGACAGCAAGGCACCAAGAATACATTATTTTGTTTCTTACTTGAAGACAATAGCAAAGGAATTTAGTTATAGCCACTCCCCAGCAGACCACCCCCTTTCCCTCCCTCATCCACCCCCATGCCCACCCCCCAAGCCCCAGCTAGACAGCAATTTGCTACAGCACAGAGCAAGTTAGCAGCATGAAGAGGAAATGGTGAGGTGAAAGGTGAAGTCTCAGAAAGGATTTTTTTGCAGACACATACTTGAGTGTTAACTGAAGTTGGCTTTTTATCATTTTTGCTTCCTAGCTGCTGATCATGAGCTGGATGGGGAGCATCAGGGCTTCTCCCTGGACAGCCCTGTGGGCTGGAGAGTCAAGGTGCAGAGCAGCACAGGTGAACCCCCTTTATCCCAGGCATGGGGCAGCTTGGCTGTCAAGGCTAATCTAGCAGATGTGGCTGGGGTCGTGTGCCCTCCCTGGGAGCATCCCCTTCATGATGTTGCAAGCTTTCTGGAAAAGGATGACCTCAGAGAAGACAGCAAAATACCTCTTCCTTGAAAAGCTCCAGTTCTTCTTCTTCTGACTCTTCCACACACATGCCGTATTACCTAGATTCCCAGAAGCCAGAGATTTAAATAATGCCACGCCAGCAGCTGTCCGGATAGAGCAACTCTGCTTCTGCTTTGTGAGGCTCCAATGTGAGCATCTGGCGTATCACCCACATCCTCCCAGCCCTCCTCCAAAGAAATGGCAAAAGATGCTTGTGAGACTCTCTCTACAAAAGGGACCATCTTCCTGACAACAGCAAGGGCTCCTGTTCCTGCAATTGCTGTTCTTTCCCTGACCCAGGGTGCATGTGACCTCTCCAGACACCACTCATGGGCTGGCCCACATAAGCATATCCAGAGAGTCCAGAAGATACGGACCCATGACATGGTAAAGTCTCATTTTCCCATCTATGTTGTAATCTTTGGATCTCTGATGAGTTCAAATTGCTACTTAATATGGGAGATTACCACAGAGAAATAATATTTTGCATAAGCAGATATGCTTTCTACATTCCTGGGAAAAGAAACATTTCATAGGGAAGAAATCCTACTGTATTTGTATATGCATGTATTACATATGTATTATATAGTAGTAATTATTTACTTTGGGAGACATTAAAGTGTACCAGCTGCCTCAAATCAAGGATTGTCTTAGTCTTTCCCTAAGAAGTCCTTTATCCTTTGAGAACAAAGACCACATTTAGATAGCATGCAGAAAAGTCTGGACTCCCAAATTCACTTATCTCTGCCTTTTCCATGAAAAAGTGAAAATAAAGGAAATGCAATTCTGAGGAGGCATATTAACCCTCAGCACAGGGAGGTTCCCATCAACGGGGTGACCATTCAGCCTAGTTTATGTGAGATTGAAAAGTTTCCTAGAATGTGGGGCTTTGGGTGCTAAAATCAGGGTGCAGTTCACCCAGGTCTTATGTCGAGTCTGACCATCCTCCCACAATCTGGGGACTGACAGGTCCTTCCCTCGTGGATGAAATGGGTGATAAGGAGGCAACTGTGGCTTCTGGGATCACTTAGGAAGGAAAGTGGGAACAACAGACCAAGTAAAAGGGCAAGGAGAACTGGTGAGGTTAGAAACTTCTGGCACTTCTTTATCTTGTAGTTCACATTCTATACACTCCCAACTACCCACCACGTTGCCCCTTCCCTAGGCTTCCCCATAACGACCAGCAGTGAACACTCTCAGTAGGGTTTTTATCAGCAACAAAAAGAGAGGCAACTGAAAAACCATAGAGTCTCCAGCTGAGGGGATAATTCACCCCAACATAAAGTCATTTGGTGTTGGCTTTGACATCAGGAAAGCATCTCCTTAGGAGCTTGGAGGAAATGAGATACCTAAAAAGATGTAGGAAAATGGTAGCCCAGGAAATTCACGGGAAGGAGGCCAATGAAGTTTCCCAAGAAAGTAAGCCCCTAAAAGGGGCTTATAGGAGCAACTGAGTATCCCTCCCAAAATCTGAAGTGTAGGACAATTCTCAGTCAACATTCTTGGTAAAGGGGTAAGTCCTTTTCCCACTGTCATGGAAGGGGAGTGAATCAAGATTTATTTTGAATGACCTCACAGCAAGTCTGCCAATGAGAAAATATCTTTAAACACACACACACATACATACACACATCAGACCAGCTATAAAGAGGCCTTTTGATAATGGATCCAAACCAAAACCTAAGCAGAGTTTCCAAAGTCTATCCCCAATAAAAAAAGAAAAATGTTCAAGTCTATGAACCAAAAAACACTGATGCTTCACTTGAGAAAATTCAGTGCTTCTGGACAGATATCTTGGCACTGACATCAACCTAATCTCTTTGTGAGAGCCTTGATTAATTCACCCACCAATGCACATCCAGAAGATGGCCAGAATGGAGAGGAAATTGGCGTCGCTGAGTTCAAAGAGAAGACTTTAAAAGGTGGGTAGGGGGCAGATCATGGTCTTCCAATATTTAAGAGCTCTCAGTGGAAGAAGGGGGCCAATTGCTTGGTCCCAGATGCAAACTAAAGCAGACACAAATCTGTGTCCCAACAAAGGAAAGAGCTTCCTTATAACTAAATCTTCTCCACAATAGAAGGATCTGTGTTAGGAGGGAGTGAGCTCCTGTCCCTGGAGGTATACAAGCAGAGACTGACCAGCCTCCAGGATGCAATGGAGGACGCCGCTTCTGTGTGGGCTGGGAGCCTGCATCTGATGGCACCTGAAGCCTCTTCTCAGCTCTGAGGTCCTCCACGCTCTGCCCTTGGGTTCTGTCCAACCCTGTCATCCATGTGCCTTCCCTGGGCCCTTGGCCCCACGGCCCATGCCTCTCAGGTGGTGATGAGGGTCAGGAGAGATGCCAGGGTGTCCTGTTCATGCAGACATGAATGGGAATGAATGGCTTAGTTGTGAGCCATGTCCTCAATCAGAAGCATGATTCCAGGGATTCTGGGTCATTGTGTATGGGCAGTTTCTCGAGTTCCTGGTGTCCACTGTGCAGAACCGTGTACCTAAGGAGGAAGGAAAGAAAGCTTGAGAGTCTGACACGCATTCTTCAAGTACACCAAAGAGAGCACTCCCATGTCTCTTGACGTCCTTTCCCCGCCGGCTTCCGAGAGCTTGGCAAGGTGGGGCTGGCACTTCATCAAGAGGGAAGCCCAAAGAACAGCATCTGAACTGCTCCTTTTAACTGAAGTCCCGGAGGAAAGGACAGGTCCAGGGTTATATAGAGTGAGGGGTAGAACTGGCATTGGTACTCAGATTTATTTCCCTGCAACAAAACCTGGAGTTCTTGTGTTACTCATCAAAATGGACCCTACGTACCACTTCAGGCAGTGTCTATTATAAATATCTTAGCAGGGATGGTTCTGGGTTCAGCAATACCCAGGTTCTGAACTGAGACTCATAAACCACTCAGAGCCTGAAAGACAATGTAGCTGTATTTGTTAGCTGGATTTCTTCTGGTGACATTTGGGACAGTAACTCAATTAGGCGGATCCAACAGCATCAGAGTGAACTTTACCATTTGACTAGCGTTTATTATTTTTCTGCAGTATCACATACTTGCACTCAATATGTTATTTAAATCAGTCTTAATCGCAAGTGGGTCTTGTCATCAGTAATCCAGTTTACAGCATCTGACAGTGATTCTTTTGACATTTCTACAGTTTAGAAGGGCTATTACGTCTCATTCTCATGGCCAGTGTCAAGTCCATTCAGTAAAATAAACACACACAAGTTACTCGGCATCATGTGTTGACAACCAACTTGATGGTGGTTTTTCGAGAATTATACTGATGCTTTCCTTTGAATTATATTAATTTATTGTTGACTTGTGTTGACTGATTGGTATATACCAGGTACTGTACTAAACTCTCTCCACTCTATATAATCTGCACAACAACCCCATGAAATAAGATTATGTCTATTTTTCATTTAAGCCAAATTACACATAGCCTCAGTGACTTGCTCAAAGGAGTACAGGTAATATGTGAAGATACAACCTATCAAACCTGGTTTATTTGATGCCAACACCCATATGTTTAACTGGTTCACACACAATCCATGGGCCAGCTATAAATTTAGAACAGTGAGTCTCAACAGAAACAATTTGGAGGCACTTATGCTTGTCATGGCAGGGGTGATGCTAATAGTATCTAGTGGGTAGAGATCAAGAATGCTGCTAAATATTGTTTAGTACATGGCGCAGACTCCCACAACAAAGAATTAACTGGCCCAAAATGTCCATGGTGCCCTGATCTAGAATAAAATATCCTCCTAGCTAGACAGAAGCAGGTGTTGGCTGAGAAACAGAAGTTGAAGGGCATGAGTCTGCTCAGTGACAGAAGTGTCACTGCAGATGGTGCCAACAGAGAGGTGAGCAGCAGAGCTATGACCTGAAGAACCACAAGTACCTGCTAGGTGAGTGTTGAGGAGAAAAATGAAGTGGAAAGAGTTATACAAAGGGTTGGATCACACAGTCTTCATGAGGGTGGCCCAGCCCCAGTGAGATATGTGAGTAAAGGCTTTAGGGTGGTCAGCGTTCCAGCTATAAAGTCATAATCTCTCAGCCTCAGTACCACTCTTCTAAGCTTGGCTTTGTGGTTCTGCAAAGCAAATCCTGGCTTGTGAGCTGGCTTCTCTCAGGCTCCTCCAGCAGCGGCCTGGAAGCCTGGATGGAAGAAAAGAGCCTTGCTCCTCCTGCGAGCTTCCTACCTACTCAGCTCCTCGTGAGCATCACCCCACCCATGCTTCCTCAGCAGCAGCGCTGCCTTGCAGTAGCAGCAGAAAGTCTTTTTTACAGTTTTTCCAACTCTTACATAACCAGCTTCATAACAACCCCTCAGAGGTAGTGCCTCCTTTTCCTCAGAGGTCCAAGTTTCTGCTCTGTGGGATCTCTCTAAGTTTCCAGGTTTTTGTTTCTGTTTTTGTTTTTTGGTTACTCCTTTTTTTTCTCTCAGCCCTAGAGGGAGCAGTTGCTTCTTACAGTTGCTACCTCTATATATTAAAATATTGCTTAAATAGCTGGTGTGGTTTCTGTCTTCTGACTAGATCCTATGAAATATAATAAAGAATGGAGACAGGTGTGTATCAGGGAGAAGAACATTCCAGGTAGAACAGCAGGTGCAAATGTCCTGAGGTTAGTTTCTGTCTGGAAGTTCTGAAGAAAAGCAAGGATCCTGGGTGCCAAGGCAGAAAGAGTGAGGGGAAGAGTGGAAGGAGTTGAAAGTTGAGGTCAGTGAGGTAGCTGGGGCCAGAGTGTGGAGGTGGAGGGGCCATGGCTTGCAGATTATTCCTGTAAGGCTTTGACTTTCACTACATGTGAGAGGTTTGAGCAGTGCCCTGACATAATCTGGATGACTTCTTAGCTGGCTCTCTCTGGTTGCTCTATGAAGAGTAGATGGAATGGAGTTGACATGAGCACAGGGATTCAGGAGGTTACAGCAATAATCTGAGTGAAGGAGTAGTTTGCTGTTATACTTAATCCTAGCAGAAGATCTAGCCTTTACAACTGTTCTCGGGCTCTGTCACGTGTGGTGGGGTTTCCCTGACCTTATCTCACCAAGTAGAGGCTGTGTTGTGCAGCATAGTGATAAAAACTATGACTTGAGTCAGCAGACCTTTTTCCCAAACCAGGCTCTACCACTTACCAGCTTTGTGATATTTAGCAAGTTATTCAATGTCACGATGCCTCATTTTCCTCCAGTGTGACAGAGTGACAGAGATACCTCACAGTACTGGTGTATGGACCAAATTATATTATGTATGAAAAACAGGAGCACAGAGTCTGACACAAAACAGAATCTCAAAATATTGAAGCTAAAATTATTCTGTTTACTCCTTTCCCTCAATATCTCATTTAGATGTGAGTATATAATAATGACAGCATATATAATTCTAGGCTTAAAAATACTTTCCTGCTTTATTTCCTTTACAGGCAAAACTTAAAAGAATTCAAGATACTGAAGGCTCCCAGATCTTGTTCTTTCTCCCTTATCAGAAACACAAGCTCTCATTTGGCAAGCATGGGCACCAAAGCAACACTAATTGATTTTCCCACCCATGACTTCATAAGTAGCTTTTCAGGCCAGGTAAGGTAGGCAATAAGACCAACATTATATGGAGAAAAAAGTGAAACTTGGTGCATCCGAGTGAGTAATGAGCATTGTGGTAAGTGAGCGGCAGAGCCTGACCAGGACCACAGTCAGATGCCCACCTGTTTGCTCAAATTCACATCCATTGAGTCGGTGATGCTATCTAACCATCTCATCCTTTGTCATCCCCTTCTCCAACTGCCTTCAATCTTTCCCAGCATCAGGGTCTTTTTCAATGAGTTGATTCTTCCCATCAGGTTGCCAAAGTATTGGAGCTTCAGCATCAGTCCTTCCAATGAATATTCAGGGTTGATTTCCTTTAGGACTGACTAGTTTGATCTCCTTGCTGTCCAAGGGACCCTCAAGAATCTTCTCCAGCACTGCAGTTTGAAAGCATCAGTTCTTTGGCGCTCAGCCTTCTTTATCATCTAACTCTCACACGCATACATGACAACTGGAAACATCATAGCTTTGACTATTCAGACCTTTGCTGGCAAAGTGATGTCTCTGCTTTGTAAAACACTGTCTAGGTTTGTTATAGCTTTCCTTCCAAGGAGCAAGCATCTCTTAATTTTGTGGCTGCAGTCATCATCCACAGTGGCTTTGGAACCCAAGTAGCAACTATACTAGGACCTATTTTACAGATGAGAAAACTAAGACTCAGTGAAGTCAAGCAATTTATTTAAGGCCACAGTGTCTATGACACCCACACTCTTAACTTCAAAACATATTCCCAAACCTTTGCCCTTTTCATGGCCAATAAGCCATGCTCACTGGCAATCAATCAAGTCCACATGAAGAGGGTGTCCTGTTTGAGGCATCTTTTCATATTTATATAAAAAGATATGCTGCCATGGAATCAGGCACACCTCCACAGCAGCCTTTAACATGTCTCTCCTGAGTATCTGTTTCTCGTGTGCTAATGAGTGAGTTGTTTAGGAATAACAAGTGGAGGCTCCAGAGTTCAGTGGAAAGACAGAAGCTCCCATTACACATGGGCATGTTCCCTGTTACAACATTTGGATGGTCCTGTCACCATCGTAGGTGATACACCCAGAAAGGAGAGGCCAGTATGAGATTTCCTCGATAGGACTCTAGTAGAGGGCAGTGTTTCTTACATGGTTGTCTGACCTGCAGAGGTTTCTCCAAATCTCATGAGACCTATTTTTAATTTGGTATTTTCACTTTGATAGTAAATAAGTAACCTGAGCAGATTTGGAATGATATGGTAAGCTATCTTATGAACTCATACTGCCTTGTGAGTTCAGGTCCGCCTGATGTGGTGACAGTGACTAACTTTGGGCAGCATTCCTCCAACAAGGGTCCATGAAAGCACATGATACTGCAAAACAGCATTCAGATCCTGACTCTACCATTTACTAGATGTGTTACCTGATCAAGTAGCTTAGTTCTACCTACCTCACAGCTTTGTTGTGATAAAATCAACATCTATAAAGACCTTCACAAAAGGCTGGACATGTAGTGGGTGCAGAAATATTCACTGGTAAGGAAACCAAGGTGCAAAATATGTGACACTCCCAAGGTCATAGAAGTAGTTATGTATGAGGTAGTTAAGAATATAGGCTTTTGAGTCAGAATGCCTAAGTTTAATCCTACCTCTAGCACTGTGATTTACTCAAAATGTTCTGAGTCACTGTGGGCATTCAATGAAATAACACACATAAAATGCTTACTAGAACAGCGCCAGTCAGCTAGTAAGCACTCCATAAGTGTTTATGAGAACTGTTGCTATTTGATGATAGAAGTAAGACCTAAACCCAGTACTTGATGGCTGATTTGCAGAAATCCATTCTTTAATCAGATATTTGTCCACTTAGTCATTGATCATAGGGCTGCTGAAGGAAACCTTGAAGATGGATTTACAGATAAAGAAACAGCCCCAGAGAGAGGTTGTC